GTCAGCAGCAGCCTATGCTGAAGAGCAGCTTGAAAGCAAGGAGCACTCACTCTGCAGCTACATCTCGGGACCAAAACATCCCCAGAAGCTGCCAAAAAACGACTGCTGGACTGAGTCAAGTCAACTGAGGGGTCTCCAACTGACAATTTCAATCCCTCTAACTTTCAGGGGGAAGCCCTAAAATACAGGCGCACATAGCACTGAGCTTCTGCAAAAGAGTGTACTGACAAATTGCAGAAACAGCTGTGGTCCTTTTAACAAAACAGTTAACACCACACTAAATGGTTAACCACATGCCAAGTCTGTGGTCTAAGTACACATGTGTCTACTGAGCTGTAATTCTTTTTCTTTGACTTACAGCATAAATGTTGCCTAAGGTGTAGTGGCTGGTGAAGAGGTCTGAGGTAAGGTCCAGGGCAGCGTGGGCGAGAATAGCAGCATCTGCTGAGAAATGGGCGCGGTGCAGGATGTTGGCCATGTTGACCAGGGCCACATCCTTGTGCTGCCTACAAGTACAACACACACACACACACACAGTATGAGAATGTGAACACCTGTGAGCATACAATAAATAACATACAATTGCAGTGGCCCTCTGACCAGCCTGACAGTACCTTGGGGAGAAATGCAGAGCACGCACCACACAGTCCACAGCCTTTTGAGGCTCGTTCTTCATACGCCAATAAAATGACGCCATGTTGTACAGTACCCAGGATGATGAGTTCTGGAACGCACAATCATAAAGAAGTGCACATTTTTTTAATACTTCCAAGGAATAACTGCTAACAGTAACATCTCTGTGGAATCTTTGTTTTTCCCAACATAGTTTTGCTGCATTGAACAATGGATCTTTGTCATATGTCTAATTTGGGCTGAATTGCTAGTACTGTAAATGGGTCTGGGCTTGTCCCGGCAATGACTGTTGCTTCAATATCTGGTGTCAGCTCTGATGCTAACTGAGAAGGAGGCAGATAAATGAAGTATTTTCCATGCTTTACCATCTCTATAAAAAAGGCTTATTTTTAATCTAACCTACACACATTTCTTGCTTTTGTTCAATATCTGCAAAGGAATATTTATACAGTTTAGAGAAGCTGAGTTGTACAGGCAGACCTTACCCTCTGTAACCCTTGATGGATGCGATGGCCCACCTCATCTACACTACGGCCCAGCTTATGAGACAATGAACTAAAAATGGGATCCTCCTTTGAAAGCAGCGGGGAGGTCAAGTTTGCCCTCTCCTGCACACCCTGGAACAGACAGAAGGGAAGAGTCAATTACTTTGAATTCTGGCAAGGATACATCTATGTTGTGTGCATAATACACACTGCACAAATGATCTCACCCCTGAAAACATGGCTAAATGCAATTATCAAGTGTTTTACAACTAAGTTAACAGCATATCAACTCTCAAAGCACACACAATAAATGTCTCAGCAACTGTAATCAAATAATTATGACAAACTGGTGACCGCCCACTGGACTCTTAACCCGATAAAGCAAGTAAAGGCAGTAAATGGGTGACTAAATGAAAAGTGACATAGCGATCTGGGTTTTCCACTCTGACAGTAACAAAATAGCAACTTAATTTATTGTTACTTGCCCACAAAAAAACACCACTGCCCTTTAATCTTTACTCCAGGGCCGCATTTGTAAAACTCCTGCTGAACTTGAATGCAAATTTAAGATACAATCATGTTGTTTTGAGATCATGAGATTACAGTGATTTGCATATCCCCGTTCTTTACTGCTCAAAGGGCTGCAGAATATAAATGTCCCAATGAAGGACCTACATTTAAATATCATACAAACAGCCTTGTTAATAAACTGCAACAAAAGCTTAGCTTTTTGTCCAGAAACAAAACCAGCTTTTCTCTGAGCTCTTCTTCTTCTTAGTCCTTGATTATCAGGATGTAATTTACTGGCATGAAACTGCCTCCACTCTGGGCCATTAGTTTGTATTTCAAATTAAGCCCTTAGGGACATTACTGAAGACAAAAACAATACTGCATTTCATTTGTTAAGGTTAGCTGGGCTTCCCTTTCTGAGAAACTCACACTTCAGTCTTCATAAACTGACACTTCAGTCTATGTCAGAAAATGGCCAGCTTCTGTTTTATCTTTGGTGCTCTTGAACTCTGTCCATACTCAACTTGCTCTTGTGACTAGCTGACGCTTCAGTAACCCTGTACCAGAAGTAAGAACTAAGAAATATGACTGTTTTTGCTGTTAGCTGACTGTTTAATAGGGAAAATCTGCAAAACACTCAGATCCACCCATCAAGACCATTTTTGATAATCATCATATATCTGCCCATTTCTGGTTGTATATTATCCTCTCCTGTATGTCTCTGTTCTTACATTGTTTCCACTGAAACTGTAAAAAGACCACTACTTGAAAATGTCAGCTCCATCAAACAGGATGCTAACACTTAAAAATAAAAACTGAAGACTTATTTAAACAATAACTGTTATGTTAAGCACACGTGACTAAAGAGTTTCAATTCAACATAAATCTGAGAATGGAGAGTACCTGAAAACAAAGTTACAGCGTAAACCAGCTCAAAAACAGAAGTTTAAGTCAGCATACCAATTTAAACAAAATACTTATTGGGTGATGAGAGCAACTTAGATGGTTCTTTTGATTATGAGTCATTCTCATCTTGTTCCACTCTGAGCAAACCAATTAACAAGTTTGGCCTCAACTCACCCTGAGATGCTGGAAAGCATGGATACTATATGGTAGATCAAACGCTTTCGCACAGTCAGGCTTTTCTAGATCTGGGGGCAGGGCTGACCGGGAATCCACATAGTCTTCAGGGCTATAGGAGGGCAGCAGAAAAATAGCTTTAAGATGACACATTCGTCATAATCATAGAGAGACATTAAACTAAATTTAAATGATGTCCTAACCACTGTAGAGATAGCAAGAATGTCTGCAATGATTTGTTTTATTGAGGAGAGTTTACCTGATGTCTTTGCTTTCCAAGGAGATATAAGTACCATCATACAGGTCCAGGTCTCCCAGAGGTACCTTAGCCATTACACAGTCTGCATCCTCTTTGTAGTGTCTCTGCTCCAGCCCTGTGTCTCTGTCCTCATTTTCCTCAATATGAATCTTCTGCGCCACGAGCTGCTTCTGCACAACAATAACCAATGAGAACTAGTAAGTACAAGAAACGGACAGTTGACAGAGTAAGTAACGCTTATCAGTGACTAAAGTAGTTATAGAGAGTACCTGTGTTCCAAATACGACTGGGAGATATGGAGAAAATTAAATATCACAATATTTCTGACCAAATACCTTGATATTGAGATTGTATGGTTGATGCTTTCACAAAATATTAACACAATGAGATTTTTGATAAAGGTCATCTTCACTTGTGCTTTGTTGTAATTTGCTCCATACAATAAAACGATCCATTGTCACACTCACTGCTTTCTCCTTTTAAATGTTATCTTCCCTCACACTGGCTGCCAATTAGGGCTTTTGATGTGTCACTGCTTATAATTCCCATGCACGAGCGGTGACAAATAGGTTCCCCATGACGGGTTTTTTAATTAAATTAAAGTTTGCCTCTTTATTAGGAAATGGGTGCACACAACGTACTGTCAATTAAAATGTATTCATAACCTTTTGTATAGGCCCAGTTGAATATTGCTATAATAATGTGTGATTATCACAAAATCCCACAGCATTTCAGAACCACTGCCTTACTGTGATGCAGCCCTTTAAACCAGGAAAAGACAACACTTAAGATATTACAGTATCCAAAATCTAAGACGATATCTAGTCTCATATCACAATATGAATATATTATCAATATACGTCAAAGCCCTTATTCCAAATAAAAGAAAATGGTCTTTCCTCTCAACATAGTTGAGAAACTGTAATCTCCTTTCTGCACAAATTTATCTTAAGGCAATGAACTCTGTTGTTGGGAGACATAAACCAGAATCAACAGGATGAGAACCCAAAGGGAAACACACACACCTCCAGTTTCTTGAGGTAGTTAACACGAGTCTCTTGCCTCATGAAGATCACAACGTCATGTGGATGTTTCAGATTCAAAGGTGAATCAACCTGAAACAAAAAACATGGACAGTGCAGTAAGGACTGGCATAGAGTAAACGTAAGTGCAAGTGCAACCAGCGGATTAATCTAAGGATATGACGGTTTATTCAAGTTTAAATGAGTCATATTAGAAGTAACGTTAGTGTGTTCAACTCAGATACACATACTTTCAGATGGAGATATTGCTGTCACATAAACATCAACACGGTCTGCCTGTCTAAATGAAGACAGCTGTATACGAGCAGCTGCCAACAAACATTAACGTAATGTCTCGCATTACTAAAGAGCTGTTTCCAACGCGGATGTTGACATAGGCCTGTAATATACTGGTCATCTTGACCTCAAACACCTAACGATAACGTCAGGTTTAAGGTAAGATAGCTACTGTCAGCTAACCGACTTAGCTAAACAAAATATTTTTGTTATATTGTTGCGTAGTATGTAACGTTACCGGAGCCGGCAAACACGTTTTGATAAGGTCAAATTAACCACTGAAATTACGTTAACAAACCGCATAACGAAAACGTTACCGTTAATGCTAACGAATATAGCTTTACAAGCTAGCCACCTAACGTTAGCAGGTCAATGAGCAAGCGTTAACTGTCATACTTGTTGTTGAATTTTCCCATCCTCCGTGACAACCCAGTGTGTCGTAGCTCCTCCGGAGTCCACTATAAGAATGCACAGAAGGATGAAAATCTTCCCCTGAAATGACGTTTTTCGCGAATAGTTGACACGACAGGGCAAAGACTCAGGACAGATTTTCCTGAGGTCCGCCATTTTTCTGTCTCATTTTGCTCTGTGGCAGCAGTGCTCAGCCTCCGGCCACGCGGCGGCGCTCGCGCCCGCAGCGCCCGCGCCCAAGACTGTAAAAAAAACTCCACAGGTCATCACTGATGACGTCGGGAAAAGAAAACAGGAAACTGTGTAGAAACGAAAAGTTCGAGGCGTTTTCAAGGCAAAGGTGGGTGTTATAAAAGATTAATATCTGCTTCCACAGACATGATACTTTAATGCTGTTGTCGCCGAAGAGGACGTGTGTTTGCTGTGCCCGCTGTTTCGGTCAGTATCGTTTCTTTTAATCGCTTTTTAGCACAGAGCTGATTCAAAGTTGCAGTTCCGCATCCAGGGGCATGACCACTGCATCAAGTGACAACACTGCCAGCAGTAATTATCGTATGCAAACAATAATGTAGCTGTTATGAAATACTTTACGACGTACTGTCAGTGTAAGCCAGGGTGCTACTTCAGTCAGGAGCTCGTTGAGTCATGCTTATTATGGAAACTAATTAGTTAAAAGTTGGTTTGCATTATAGGCTAGCTAGATCTTTACCCAGTGTTAGCAGGAGTTTACAGCAGCAGTGACAAGCTAGTAAAAGATATAGTGGAGCTGTCGAGACTTTAATTACAGTTTAAACACCTCCACTTTATATTTTACAGTCTTAAGTCACTGGATTACAGCGTGAGTAATATATAATGTGGTTTCTGTGTGTTTCTATAGCTGAGCTGTAATTGTGTTGATACTATTTAGTGTATTAAACTTTAAATCCTCAGTATGTTTCTTCATATATTACTACTACTACTAATACAATAATAATAATAATGATAATAATGCATTTTATTTTTTTCTAGACCCAAAGCGAAACAAAAAAACATAAAGTAGGAGGTATAAATGATAATAAATAAATAGGAGGTATCAATAATATTGTCCATCTCAAGTTAAAGGAATATATAGTATAGTTTTTGCTGTATTGCCATTTAATTGTTGGGAATTAGCACTGGTGACCTCACAAAAACCAAAACAGAAACTCCACGATGTCACCTCACTGAGACTTAAAACAAGTGGTAACAACCTGAAAACATTTTCTGACCATTTAAAGATCAGATTCTTTCTTCTCTTATCACCTATTATAAACTAATCAACTGATTACTTAGTAATGGATATCCTAGTTAGTTGCAGCCCTCAAACCAACTATGATGTGTACTATTGTGTGCCACTACAGTATATTATGGTAGAGAATGATAACACCACTGGCTGTCCAAGGTCTAATATTTTTCTCGCAGTTATTTCTTTTTTTTTGTCTTTTAAAAAATGGTAGGAACTTGAAAATAAATTTAGTTGATGGGAGGAAGTTAAAAAGATAGATAGATAGACTTTATTGTCATTCAAATCCACTCCATCAACAGTACACATAAGGACAAGATTTTGTTGCATTGACTCTCTGAATAAAATATGGATAAAACTAAACATCAGCAGCAAAAGTGCTCGTGAAAATGACAAATACAAAAATAAATAAATAGACAAAATGTGCATATGCATAAGCTTATACAAGTCCATCAAGCTCAGACCAGAGATCAGTGAGCGTGTGAGTGGGGGGTTGTTGACAGAGTTCAGTGTAAGTTAGTGGTGTGTAAGAGGGTAATCATCTTAGGGAGTTCAAAAGTCTGATGGCTTGGGGGATGAAGCTGTTTCTAAAAAGGTGGCAAGCTAGGTGCGATTCGTCTTTTAGAATCCTGTGTCTCTTTTTTTTTTTTTTTTTGAGCCTATGGTGTTAATTTCAGCAAAGGAAGTATGAAGTATTGACCTCTCACTTTAAGAGAGGAAATAACTGCTGATGCCATCTTGGCGAAAAAAGGAATATGTAGGCTACATTCAATATAATGCTTTATTTCTTTTGCCACATTCACCCTTTGATTGCTCATTTCTGTCCCACCCTCTACAGATGGCTTGCTTTGACAGTAATAAAGGGAGTTTGGAGGAGGACAGCTATGAAGGAGCTGTTGGTGGAGAGCTGTCCGGCTGTGCTTTGGCAATGCTGGAAAAAGAATCCCTTCTCAGCCCGTCAGAGAGCCCCGGCACCTTCATGAGCAGCACCTCCTCTAGTCTTCAGGCCCCTGCCCCCCTTCAAGGCTATGATGTGGATTTTGACCCACCCCTAGAGAGTAAATACGAGTGCCCTATCTGCCTTATGGCTTTGAGGAATGCCATCCAAACACCCTGTGGTCACCGTTTCTGCAAGAACTGCATTGAGAAATCAATTCGGTATGTATGCTGTTGTGTAGCTCTTTAAAAATAAATGTGCTCCAGGTACAGAGTCTAAATGATGCAACATTTTTACTGACACTGGCTGTCCTGCAGAAATGTAAAGCCCCTTACAGAGCCTGATTTTCTCAATGCACTGCCTAAATTATTACTGTTCTTCCCTCGTGCAAAACAGTGATACAGGACAGAGGTGCCCTGTGGACAATGAAAGGCTGTCAGAAGACCAGTTGTTTCCTGATAACTTTGCCAAACGGGAGATACTCTCGCTAACTGTCCGCTGTCCAAACTTTGGCTGTGCTGAGAAAATGGAGCTCCGACATTTAGAGGTGAGGATTTTAAGTGACAAGCATCTCTGCTTTCGAATGCAGCTCAACTTACAACTCAGAAACGAGACATTTAAGATGAAAATGCAGAATTTAAAATAACATTGGATTATCTTTAGTTACCAAGTCATGATTTCTGGAAAGAGACATTGCTGTTGAGTTTTTCCAAATCCTTTTTTGCTGCTTTGAGCACCACAAGGCGAGTGCTATCTAGTTCTCTTATAACTGAAAGGAGGCAGACGTCTCTTCGGCCGATATCTCCAGCACTTGGCAGCTCACATTAAAACAATTTAGACTGATTATCAGCTCTCTGGGTAAGAGGGAAAATATTTGATTTTGGGGATGAACGGTCCATTTAACAGAATGAACTGCCTCAACAATAAAATAAGGTAGTAAAAAAACTGTAAGAAAACAAGTAAGATACTGGCAGCTCAGCTTGCCTGTTCCCCTGTCAACAGCACCATAGTCAGCACAGACTCTTCCTGTTCCAACATTTCCTCACACTATGTGTCCTTGTTTTGGCATGTAAAACATGTGTCGGGCGCCAAGTTAAGAACAACATCTTTCTCTGCCGTGGACGGTGAAATTGTAATATGTGAACCACTGCTGTCCGACTACAGAAAAAAAAAACATTAAGCACATTGTTTCAATGTCTTATTTTCCTCCCAGAATCACTTGGCACAGTGTCAGTTTGCCACGGTGCCTTGCCCACAGTGTCAGCAGTCTGTGAGAATGAGCCACCTCGAGGAGCACAAAACTGTCGAGTGCCAACGGAGACCTGTGTCATGTCCAGACTGTGTGACAAGCTTTGTTTATGAGGAGAGAGAGGTAAGGTAGACTCACTTGTGTCATTGCTTCTCTTGCTTTTTTCCCAGAATAGTTCTCATAGGAGCATCAAACAGCTGCATTGTGTATCAGTGAGGATTTAGTCTTCTCACACTCTGGTTTGGTTGCTCCTTCAGCTTCATGAGCAGCAGTGTCCCTTTGCCAGTGTGAAGTGCCAGTACTGTGAGATGGATCTCATCAGAGACCAGGTGAGTTTCACAATGTCTGCAATGGAAAATGTTTTTTTTTTTATAGATGTGATTTCGTCATCATTTAAGTTAGCTTCTGCCAACAAGAACTTCTCTTTTGTTTGAATAATGGGGAACCATTCCACACCCGGTCACAGCACATGTCACAGTTCCACCACTTCTGCAGTAGCAAGTGCAACTGATGACGTTTAAGTGTTGTTCTGTATGAGAAAATAAATTAGTTATTTCTAAGACAGTTGCACAATTATATATTAATAACCAACGTGTTTGATTGACTTGATAAAGGATAAAAGGGTAAATAAAGGAAGCTAAACTGATGATGTCTTTGTTTCAGATGGAGTCTCACTGTGATACAGATTGCCCAAAAGCACCCATTGCCTGTAACTTTAGCACCTTCGGATGTAAGGAAAGGGTAGGTGATCAAATTCAAATCTACTACACACTGTTAAGGGGAGACACCTCAGATGAATAGGGTCAACTTTTAAGGAATCGATACCACTTGAGACACATGAAACTTCCCTCGCTGATTACAAACGTAAAGACAATTATTTTTAACCTTAAAAGTTCTCTAAAATTTTATGTTTGAAAATGGAAATGGAGCATGCTCTAATAAAAATGTGCTGATTTGCATACATTTCCAGAACAAAACCTGCACATCGGATAAAGCCAGGTTCAAAATTTTTGTTTCAGTTTGTCAACATATCAGAGGTTTTTTTTAAGGAGAGGATTTTGGATATCTCTTTTGATCATTCTGTAAATCAGACAATACCGTCAACAGCCATAAAATATGAATTTTTGCCTTGTTTTCAGGAATAAAATGTTATGTAAATCAGGGTATGAATGATTTATGAACAAACCCCTCTGGAAAACCTTTCAGAATATGAATAAGAGTAAAACTAGAAAGTTTGGTGTATGTAAGTGCTGTTGAAGTTGAGATTTTTGGGTCATAGTACTGTAGAAAACAGCCTTTTAAGATATGTACGTAAATTGTCATACTTTTCGAGACGAAAAACGACAATTTTTTTTTATTACAGTTTTTCTGAAATGTTGTGTTTAAATAGATTTAAATAAAGAAATACATTTCCAGAACAGAATTCTGTGCTAAAATAAACATCTCGATGTGTATTTTGGACCGAGTCTTTCCACTAGTCTAAAAGAAGACATGTTATTGAAGCCTGAAATCTCAAAAATTGACCACTGCATGAATGAACGATGTTTTCACCAGGGGTGTCTCACCTTAAAAGAACAATCTTTGAGAGCTTGCCTTGTTACAGGAGTCCCATCAGCCCTGCAGACCAGATGTCACAAATAAAAATTGCTGTCTCCTGCAGATGCAGCGCCACAACTTGGCTCAGCACATGCAGGAGTTCACGCAGATGCACATGCGCTACATGGCTGAGTTCCTGCGTGGCCTTAGCCTCAACGGCACCACACCCAAATCCCTGTGGGCACTAGGACCTTCAGTTTCCTCGGAGGATCAAGGAGCTGCAGCATCAGTTTCAGCCTGTAGCGGACCCAGAGGAGGAGCTGCAAGCTGCAGCAGCAACTCTGCCCCGTCTCAGCCCACTGAGGAGATGCAGAGGCTCAGGGAGATGGATGGACGATTAGTGAAGCAGGATCACCAGCTGCGTGAGCTTATCATCTTAAAAGAGACACAGGTAATGGATGTCCTTGAGTAGAACTTTGTGCATCTAGTTTTTATCTGTAATCACAGAATCAGTTTGTGATGCGTCTCACTTGACTACATGCCCCTGTCATCCAGTTGGATTTAAGGATGAACTGATCAGATTTTGGTGGTCAAAGGTCAAGGTAACTGAGACTTTGCATCCGTCTCATTCTTGAAAATGTAGTATCTCAAGCATATAGGGAATTCTTCCAATATGGCACAAATGTCCACTTGGACACAAGGATGTACTGATTAGATTTTGAAGGTCAAGGTCACAGTGAACTTGCACCCGCCTCACTCTCGTGACAAATGTCAAGACATTTGGCACAAACGTCTCGTTGGACTCCTGGAGGAACTTACTAGATTTTGGTGGTCAAAGGTCACTGTGACATTTTGAGACATGTTTTTCGCAATATATATATATATAGCACATTTTGGCAACAAGGCAATTCAAAGTGCTTTACATAAACATCAAAAGCAAGGAGACAAAGTGCAAAAGAAACACTAGAACACCATTAAAGAGCTAAAGAATAGAAAATTAGATTAAAAACAAGACTTTGGACATAATTCAACACCATGACTCAGGAACAGAAAGGGAGACATCTGGTCAGATACTGAATTGGTGACGCTAATCTTGGCGTGCTGGTTGTATGGATCTTCTGTGCTGAGGGGTTAAAGATGTATGTGGATTATGTTACATAGGCTGTATGTATGTCTTTGCAGCAGCATCAATATTTTGATGTAAATCGTAACTGCAACTTTGCTGGTTCGCAGAGGCACACAACCGCAAGGCAGTAATTCTAGTTCTCCATATCAAGAGTTATTTCTCCATCTCTTCTCCAGATGGTTCCATTGTTTTGTCGATACCTGTGTGAGCACAGACATATTAATTGTGTGTCTGCACAGGAGGCGTTTCAGCTACAATTTTCACTCATCCGTCACCTGCTGGTCTTCTGTTTTGATCGATACAGCTGTCTACGCAGGCTCACGTGTTTCACTCATGCTGTACCCTCGTAAAAAGACAACCCAAAACGTATTTTTACGCTTCATGTCCATTTTATTCCATTTTACATGCGTAATTACGGTGATTGTGTTTTGGCTATGAGTGCCAAAACACAGGTGGCCCACACTCAGTACTGCGCAACACATCCTCTGTAGACAGATGATGCACTGAAGCTGCTATTGCTGCTCTGCTAACTTGCTGCTCACGCTGCGCCTCCTGTGCAGACACATGTAAGCTGTTGTCATTTGAAACTATTGTCCCGTCTCTTCCACAGGCCGGCCATCTCGCAGAGATCAGGCGTAGAGTGTCAATGCTGGAGGAGACAGTGAAGGAGCTGGAAGCCCAGCAAAGTCACGGTATCTTCATTTGGCGCCTCAGAGGTTTCTCTGCTCACCTGCGGAGCCAGGAAGCAGGCCTCCCAGTGGTTGAGCACAGCCCCGGCTTCTACACAGGCCGTCCAGGCTACAAGCTGTGCCTGCGCTTGCACCTGCAGACCCCCAACGCCCCGCGCTGCTCCAACTTCATCTCTCTCTTTGTCCACACCATGCAAGGAGCTTTTGACGGGCTGCTGACCTGGCCGTTCCAGGGCACCATCCGCCTTGCCATCCTTGACCAGGGCCCCGAGGGTCAGCACCACATGGAGGTGATGGAGACTAAACCCGACCTGCAAGCCTTCCAGAAGCCCACCATCCAGCGCAACCCTAAAGGATTTGGCTATGTCACCTTTCTGCACCTTCAGCAGCTGAGTCAAAGAGCCTTTATTAAAGATGACACTCTACTCATCCGCTGCGAGGTGACACCTCGATTTGACAGTATGTTTCACCGCGATGGTCCGACAGTGCAGCCCAGAGGACATGAGGCCTCAGTTTCAAGGGACTAAAGCCAAACTCATATCTATAGGAGGATCGTTATCATGCAGAGATGTCAGCACACACACATTTAAAATTTGGACACTGCAAGCATGCTAGTATTTATTTGTTTACCGACTTTTAAATGTTAGTGTGATTTTTGTTTTAATAAATATATACAGCACAATCCTTTTAATATATTTGCAATATATGTCTTCACTCACAAGGTACTAACATTCAGCAGGCCTCGTAAGGTCAGTAGTTACTAATGTTTAATCAGCTCACCAGTTTAAGACGTGTACTTCCTGCCTGCAGACTGAATATTACTACATGACTTTGCTCTCTTGTTCTGGTTGTTAGAGACAGCACTGAATGTTAGACATACCTTGTGGAGTTTCTGACCGCTAGTGTCACGATGGAGCGGATTCCCATTGTATTTTGTACTTCATCCTGAACTAGCACACACACACACGGACCCACATGTATGCATAGGGGCATGTGGGTGATGAGACATACATTCTCAACGACTATACATGAGTACTGCATACAAGCTATCAAAAATGACGCAAAAGGTGAACAGGTGAAACTAATCCCCCAGCAACAGCACTGGGGTGTGTCGCAGTCTTCTTGTAATGGCCACAGTTGGAAGTCCAAAAACACATTCCTCGCTACCAAATCATGTAAAAGAAATGGCTGCACAATGATGAAGAAATGCCACAAACACAGATTACTTGTGATCACAATTTTCCTTCCAGAAAAAAAAACACCTGGAAGAGCTCCAACAGCATCTTATTCATGCCATTCATGTGTGCAGAGACAGCTGGCTCAGCCTGACCAGGATTCTAATGTGCAAGTCCAATGGATCCAAAAACATGGAAACCTGAAGAACTGTTTATTGAGGTGCAATCTTGCAATACAGAATGTCTTGTATGTCAACTGGAGAAGATGGAGCAGCAATCAAAGCAAAAAGTCTGACCTTGTCCATCAAACAAAAGGAGGGCAATATGACATCCTTCGGTTTTTTATGGTATTACACTGGATATTTGGTGGCGGTAACATGGCAAGCAACTTCATAATATTCCAGAAACAGGTGAAGAAGAAGACTTCTAGTTGGTGTGCGTATGGATATGAAAAAAAGTCTGCTTTGCAAATGGTTTGAATGCAGAGGCAAAAGCTCCACAGGGTACCTTTTAACAGGGTTCCTACGGCCATCGAAAACCTGGAAAAGTCATTGAATTTCGCTTTGGATATGTTTGAATAAGAGGAAAATAACACGATGAGAGACTTTACATGTCGCGCCATGAATCCCAAAGTTTGCGTACCTATGGTATGGCCCACCACTACTTTAAGTTGTGCTGCATTTTTGAGATGGAGCAGTTAGTTTTATACAATTATATAATATATAATTTTATCATGGGTCCTTGAAAAGTCTTGGAAATGTTTTGAAATGTGTCCATGAAAATGCGTGGGAACCCTGTTAGAAAAACACATACATGTACTTTCCAAATTAATCATTTCATACTTCAGTACTTTTGACTTTTTATAATGTACTCTGACATAATCAACAAAAACTGACAGCACTTTCTTCAAAATGGAGGATTTTCTCTTAGCCCAGTTCCATCGTCTTGGCAGATTGTGGTATAATACATTACAGCTGTGCAGATTGTCACTTAATTGCTCATATTCCTTTTGACAGAGTTTAGGTGCCTTTCACACAAGTTCTTACCCAGTGTGACCTTGGAAGATATTTTGACAGTAGACAGAAGTCCAACGTCACGATTGAGTGTCTTTACTTTAAACCAGTATGCTGCCTTTTAAGCCTTTACATGATGTAATTAATATATTGTTTTATATTTTAGTTTTTTTTCTCCACTTGTAACATTGCATTGTTACGATGCCATTTAAAATGATTTGACTGTGTGCAGAATGATTCCTGTTGATAACTGAATGAGATGTTTTCCATGAATTTCAGCATATGAGACAACACTGACGCAAAAATAGCCTCAAATTAAAGCTAAGCTTACTTAAATTCAGAGCAACTGTAGTCTCACTTTTTTTGGTTCTTTAAGTAATTATTTAAACCAATGAAACAACATTGTGTACTTTTTGCTGCTGTATAAATATTAATAATGTGTCCTGACATGCCGTTTTTCCCAAGATGATTATGTTTTAGCACATCTTTTAAAACTCGAAAGCTTAACTTGCAAAAGGAAAGGAATTAAGGGAATTTGTGTTTTAAGATATGTATAACAAACTCCCCTGGAACAACACTCAAAACAGGCAGATATCTGGGAATACATCGACCATCGTTTTATTAATTTAAAGCCCAAATCAATGTCCCCTTTCTCCCAGTTACACCATCTCAAAATATTCTAAAAATCAAACACATAGCATCATAATTAGCTGTCTACTAGTTACTGTTATCACCTTCATTCATCAATGTAAGGAAATTTTTTATTAGCTCCATATCCAGGGTGACCTGGTTTGGCCTCAGCAGCTTCTTGTTTGACTTCTTTCTCTGGTTGACTTTGAGGTGTGTCCTGGGTGCTGCCTGCCTTGTAGCCTGTTAGAGACACTGAAATTTCATGATGTATTTATATTAAATCTGAAATACATACAGTAGTGCCAGAGAGTGTCTGATTTACCAACTTAAAGTCAAGTTTCGGATTTCAGACTCACTTGGAGCTCTTGGAGCTTCTTTCCCACACTTGAGTGTGCTTTGAGCGAAGCACTCTGCCATCCAGGACAACACCTCTCCACAATATCTGATCTGGAGACGAAGACGGGAGTAACTGAGGTTTATGCAAACTGTCTGTCAGAGTGTTAAGTGCATAGATGGATTACTGAATGGGCCACCGGGCACAGAGAGACACAAAACGACTGAGAAAGATACAAAATTACTTCAAAGAGACATAAAATTACCTCAAAGAGACACAGGTGACTACAAAAAGACACAAAACCACCACGATGAGACACAAAGTGACCACAACGAGTTGCAAAGAAAGTGCAATAAGACAAAATAACAAAACAAATACAGGCAGAACAACCACATAGGGACACAAAATGACTACAGAGAGAGACACAAAATGACCTCAAAGAGACACAAAACAACCACAAGGAGACACAAAACAACCACAAGGAGGCACAAAACAACCAAAAAGGACACAAAATTACCTAAAAGAAACACAAATGACCACAAAACAACAGAAAGCGACACAAAACGACTGAAAAAGACCCAAATGTACCCCCAATAGACACAAAGCAACCACAATGGGACGTAATATGATCACAAAGAGACACTAAACAACTACAGAGAGACACAAAACAACCAAAAAAGACACAAAATTATTTCAAAGAGACACAAATGACCACAAAAGACACAATACAACCACAACGAGACACAAAAGGACCACAAAGAGTTGCAAAGAAACTGCAAAGACACAAAATAACTACAATAAAATGCAAAACAACCACAAAGTGACACAAAATAACCAAAAAGGACACGAATGTCCTTGAAAAGACCAAAATAACAGATTAAGACACAAAACGACTGAGAAAGATACAAAATTACTTCAAAGAGAGATAAAATTACCTCAAACAGACACAGGTGACTACAAAAAGACACAAAACGACCACAATGAGACACAAAATGACCACAACGAGTTGTAAAGAAAGTGCAATGAGACAAAATAACAAAACAAAAACAGGCAAAACAACCACATAGGCACATAAAACGAAAACAGAGAGACACAAAATTACCTAAAAGAATCACAAATGACCACAAAAACACACAAAATAACATAAAGAGACACAAAGAAAGAAAAGATCCAAATGTACCCCCAATAGACACAAAACAACCACAATTAGACATAAAATGACCACAAGAGACATAAAACAACCAAAAAGGACACAAAATTATGATGAAGAGACCCAAATGACCACAAAAACACACAAAACAACTAAAAAGACACAAACCTACCCCCAAAAGACACAAAGCAACCACAATTAGACACAAAATCACCACAGACACAAAACAAAAAGATGCATAACGACTACAAAGAGATACAAAGCCTGTGTGTCTTGCTCCTTCGTAAGAGATGTAGTGGGGCCCTTTACATATCTGTGCCCAGGGGCCCATTGTGTCATGATTATGTGAAATAGATTCAGGAAAATGTCACTTTTCCAGGTTTACCTGAGACTCCATGGATACCTGTCGTTTCTCTTGGTCCTTGAACCCACCAACAATCCTCAGCAGGCTCTGAACCCTTGGTCACAAACAAAATATCGCTTGATATTCAATACTGCAATCATCATCATGTCCACCACTAGGGGGCAGGAGAGCTTTACAACAGGCTACCGTTTGGGCATGCTGTGTCCAGCGAGGTTATCAGAGCTTGTTTGCCAAGAAGATTGCATGCTTTCATACCCCTGCTGTATGAGTGATTTTACAAAATTGGAAAAATAATAATTACTTTGAGGAGGTGCTCTTGAGCCTCTCCTCACTGCTCTCCCAATGTTGGCGCTCCAGTTTGGCCAGATAGTTCTCCTTCTGCACGGTCTCCCATGTTATTAGCCTTTGGTCTAGCCCTGCCGGCAGCTCCCTCTCTGGCCACACACACACACACACACACACAAGGAGGCAGTCCAGTAACCAATTAACCAACAGGCAATTTCCATGGATACAGCAGGTGAAGGGCAGAGATAAGCACACAGTTTGTTTTTTCAGTGTATAATTTAATTTGACTTTAGCCAGAAAAGCCACAGTGAACTATTTCAGTGTCTGTTTGAAATACAGTAGAATAGTTCCTAATGGAAATGTGGCGACATTATGCAGAAATAACCTTCATACCAAGATGCTCCTGCTTGGACACAGGCTGTTTGACCAGGCTGAGGAGAAGCTGAGAGAGGTGGCTGATGATGATGAAGGGTGGGGCCAGTGCTGGACGACTGTGGTATTCCACAATCAGATTGTATCGCTGGAATTTCCAAAAGATGTCTGTGTTACCCTGCACCACCTGGAATGTGTAGCTGCAAATGGAAGGGAAACAAAAAGAGAGAAAGAATTAAATATGTTGGTTTTTTTTAATTTTATCATGTACAAAGAAGTCAGTGGCATATGTTGACTCATATCGTCAGACAGACAAACAGATGGAGGGTTTTCTGGATTTCCAGCCTCTGACCTGAACATGGCAATGAGCAGATTTAGCAGCAGGACATTGGTGACAAGAAGGAAGATAACCAGCAGCAGGATGACCAGCCAGTTGGCGTAGATGTTGGGACATGGCGGCCGTAGGCCCATGATAATTTCCTCTGAGTCATTGGTGCAGTTAATTTCAGGCATGCGAGCAGCTGTGCTCCATTTCATGAGAGAACAAGAAAATTAGAAGAGAAGACATAACATTCAGGCCAACAGGAAGCATCCCTGATCACATTAATGATTAAATATAATATTCAACATGATAATAAACTGTCACAGGGCACATTCTTTAATAGATAAACATACATTTTAAAGCTGAATCTTCTTTATAATGAATAAACACATATATCTGCATCTACTGTAATTTACCATCAATTTCTTCCAAAGGAATCTGGCCAAAAATATGCAGGTAGGGGCGATACAGGGCTCTGCGAAACACCCAGTCAATTCGTGGGTCATTGGGGTGCAGAAGTGCCTGAGTGGCAACACCGTACGCAATCATCCACACACTCAGGAAGAAAAGGAAGAAGAAAACGTCCTTCATCTGTAAAGGAGAAGCAGACACATGTTTTCATCTTTATAACGCACTACACAAGGTCTATGCTGTCTTCATCTGTGACCATGAACATCATTTAACGATTAATAAGTATATTGGTGATGTTTTGTGCACCATTCTTTCCACGATGATGATCTTGGGGCCCAGCTGATTATGAATGGCAAAGATGTGGATGAGACGCAGAGTGAACACCATGAAGTCTATCGCCAGAACGGTCCTTCCTGCCTCGTACGTGTCGCTCGCCATCCTGCAGAATCAAAAACATCAGATTACAGATTGTAATTCAGGAAAACGACATATTGTTGTGGCGCGGTCCTTGCTAGTGACTGTGTTATGTTTCAATAGTGTCATCAATCTCATTGAATGTCAGTTACCTGCATGAAACCCCAACAACAAAAAGTGAGATGGCAACCATGTCGCACTTGTTCCAGTTGTCCTCTACATAGAGTTTGAACTTCTTCAAGATGTTCATCTCTTCATCCGTGAAGAAGCTCTGTGTCATAAAAGATAGTTTATGCATTACTGTAAGACATAGTTATTCATAAACTGTACAAAAATCTAAAAAAGAGAGAGTTCATAGTCTTAATATGTATCCTTGATATATTTTTTTGAAGATATAGGGAATCTATTGGGTATGGACGGACTACTGAATGGGCCTACCAGCCACATGCCCAGGGGCCCCCCTCACCTTTACCTGGAAAAAGACTACAAAGAGATGCAAAGGAACTGTAAAGAGACACAAAATGACCAAAAGATACATAATGATGACAAAAACACGTGAAAAAACAAAAACAAAAGATGCAAAACCACCACAAACACTGTTTTTCTTGCTCCCATGTAGGAGAGGTGGGTGGGGCCTTTTGCATATCTGCACCCAGGGGCCCATTAGGCCCGTTTCCACCGCAGGAACTTCGGGGTAATTTTACGGGGCCGGGGCCATTGGTGCGTGTCTCCAAAGAAGGAACAAACCCAAAAGGACAGAGTTCAAGAACTTTTACAGGGGCTAAACAAGTCCCTGCCTCAGGGTAGGTACTCAGAACGGCCCCGAAAGACTCCTGGCTGGGGCTTGGGGATTACTTGGTGCTGATTGGATATACTCAAGGAGGGATGTGACGTCAACAGAAAGCAATAAAATAGCCGGCATTTTTAAAACTCAGCAGACGAGGGTTCGCTTGTTCATATAGCTTTCGCGGCCATGTAAAAAAAACTCATTAAATGGCCCATGAAAAAAATATTCTTTCCAGCGGATATCTTAGTTACAACATGATTGAGCTAGCAAAGCAGTTTTGTGTTGATATGTGTGGTATTTATTCAGTTATGGGAAATCACGATGTCTAGAAAGCATCAGCTGACAGGGACAGCTAACAGCAGCAGCAAAGCTAACATC